ATTAAAGATGCGGAAAGTAGTGAAAAATTAAGTGGAATCGCCCTTTAGCTATTGGAAGCTAGAATTGGAAAGCAACTTCAGCTTCGTAACCGTTTCCGAATTAATTCTGTTAAGTAAACTGGGGTTTAATCATTTTCAGGTCTACACAGCAGGATAACTTCATTTCCGTGAACAGCTCTAATAAATGCCTCGGTGGTGTGAACAAAAAAGACACAGCACTTACTCGTTCTGCTGGTCCCTGCTGAAGGCGTACAGTTGCTCTCAAGTTGAAAGTTACTTCCTGTTTTTTCGGCTGATGAACTTCGAGCAAGGTTTTCCAAAATGCCCGCCGGGCAAATCCACAAACATGAGTTAGACTGAGGTCACGCGACTTGAGAAGGACCTCACTGCAGCAAACAGAAACAATTTCTTTTTTTTCCCTCTTCTTTCTTCTTCTTCTTCTTCTTCTTCTTCTTCTTCTTTAGGTTTTAACGGCAGCTTGCATCCATCCACGTTGCACTACTGCCGTCTATTGGATCCTACTATCTATACTTCAAATTCTCTTAAAGATCCCAGTGTTTTTTTTTAGAGAAATCTTCTTTTTCCCCTCAATACCTGATCGATCACACTCTCAAATTTCAATTCCCTACTAACACCTAATTCCGTTTTTAATAATCTTCTTTGGTTTGCATATTTTGTACATCTAATCAAAACATGTTCCACCATTTCTACAGCATCACACCAACTACATAAACCAGTAAGATGTTTCCCCATCTTAAAAAGAGTTCCATTTAGGAAACTATGCCCGGTTCTTATTCTATTTATAATTATCTCCTCCCTCCTGTTTATTCCTTTGATCCTTACTACATCGACTGTATTTTGTATCCTATATAAATGTCTTCCATTTATTTCATTTTCCCACCTAGCTTCCCATATCTTCTTGCTTTCTTTCCAAATTATACTTTTGCCTTCAGATTTAGATAACTTTACTTGCATATCAATATCATCTTTTTTAATCATCTCTTTAGCCAACCTATCCGCTCTTTCATTGCCCATACCTACATGAGCAGGAGTCCAGAATAATATAACATTTTTATTTTGTTCACATCCTATGGTGAAGAGCCATAATCTCATATAATATATTTTGATGATTATTTGTACGTCTCTTTCCGATACTCAACAATGCAGATAGTGAGTCACTACAAACTATTATTTTATTTATATTAGTATCCTCCACCCATTCTAAAGCTAATAAAATAGCACATAGTTCTACTGTGAATACACTCAAATAATTAGATGTTATTTTTGAAATACTAATCTTTACTTCAGGAATCACTACAGCTATACTGGTTGCTTAATTTTGGGGGTCTTTCGAACCATCCGTATAAATTTGCAAATAGTTATTATATTTATTCTGCATTTGATTATAAAATTCTTGACAAATATCTATTGTATTTCTTTTCTTAATATTTGTTAATGATCTGTCTACATTAATATATTTCCATGTCCATGTAGGTCTCAAAGGCCACAATACAGTTGGACTAAATATTTTATAACATTAAATATTTTCGCTCTATCATCCCCAACCCACCCAAAACTATCAATTTGTTTTTTTCCTCTTTCCTAACGCTTTTCTAATGCTTTCTTAACTGGGTGATCTTCATTATGTCCTTTTAAACTTATCCGATAATTGACCATTAGCTGCTGCCTTCTGATGCATAATGGCATTTCTCCTACCTCTACTTGCAAAGCACATATTGGCGTTGATTTAACTGCCCCTAAACAAATTCTCATTGCTCTAGCTTGGATAACATCTAACTTTTTTAACCTAGTTTTAGCTGCTGAACTATACACCACACTCCCATAATCTATTCTTGATCTAATTAGTGACACATAAATATTTTTTAGGGAATCAAAACTTGCACCCCATCTCAATCCTGCTAAACACCTCATAATGTTTAAAACCTTTTTACTTTTCTCCATAATATGTTCTATGTGATTTCCCCAAGTTAGTTTCTTATCAAAAACTACCCCCAAAAACCGAAACCAATCAACCCTTTCTAACTCTTTCCCATATAAACACAACTTTTTTATCAATCCTTATTTTTTTATTTGTGAAAAACATTACTTTTGTCTTTCCAATAGAAAATTTAAAACCCCACTCTACCCCCCAATTACTCACTTTATCTATTCCTTCCTGGAGTTTAACAGTAAGATGTTCCACATTTCTTCCCCTTTTCCATAATGCTTCATCATCAGCAAAAAGTGACTTACCAAAACCGATGGATAATTCTTTAAAAATGTCGTTGATCATAACTGAAAATAATGTTGGACTTACCACACTTCCTTGAGGGGTTCCATTTTCTATTTTACATAATTTAAAAAAATGACATCCTATTTTAACTTGAATATTACTATCACATAAAAAATCCCATATCCAATTAAACATATTACCTCCTATACCTATCTGATGTAATTTAATCATTACCCCTTCCCTCCATAACACATCATATGCTTTCTCCACATCAAAAAACACAACAGTTTCCTTATTAATCTGAGCTTTTCTAATATCATCCTCTAAACATAAAATAGGATCAATTGTTCCTCTCCCTCTACGAAAGCCACTCTGATAAGGAGCAATTAAATGTTTTGACTCCAAATATTATGTCAATCTCTCATTCACCATCCTTTCCATCAGTTTACACATATTAGATGTTAAAGCAATCGGTCTGTAATTTCCAGGATTACTATGATCTTTCCCAGGTTTCTTTAGCGGATTAACAATAGCTTCTTTCCACTTACAAGGCAGTCTCCCCTCCTTCCAAATCTTATTGAATAAAATTAATAATTTATTTAAAACTTCCTCACTTACATGTCTTAGCATAATATAACAAACTTCATCTTTACCTGGAGCACTATTCCTAGTTCTATCCAAAGCTCTTTTTAGCTCTCCAATAGAGAAAGGATAATTCATCAGATCATTATTATTCTCCTTTCTTCTTAAAATTCCATCATTTTCCTTTTTATTTCTCTCCCTTCCTTCAATTTCATTATCTGATAAATTTTCCCCATTATGAATCTCCACAAAAGTGCTTACTAACATATCAGCCTTTTCCCTATCAGTTACAGCTACTATATAATTTTTATTTAGTATAGGATAACTCCATTCCCTTCTATCTCCTCCCATTTTTTGATCATCCCCCAAACATCCCTTAATTTTGTACTACTGTCAATTGTGTCACAGAAACCTCTCCAGAATTGTCTTTTTGTGCTTCTTATTGTTCTCCTGATTTTTGCTTGTGACTTTTTATATTCAATTAAATGTTGAAAATTACGAGACCTTTTAACCAATTTAAATGCTTTATTTCTTTATCTAACTGCTTAGCAAACAGAAACAAGTACACCTCGCTGCAGAAAACAGAAATGGGCGGGGACAGACCACTGTCAGTCTCATAGCTTATTTGGAAATAGGACCATTGCAATCCGGAAGTGAAGGGGGTGCTATTTCTTATACTTCCGTTTTT